GCGTTGCCCCTTGGGGGTTAAAGGACGGATGCCAGGCAGAGTGTGGCAAGCAGGAGCGTGGCAAGGACAGGTTGCAGGCCTGGCTCTGGTTAGGGCAAGCTCACTGGAAGGGCTTGAAAACACACAAATGCTCATGTTGAGTGACACCCCGTGAGGACTCACGGTGGCAGCCTGTGACATCCCCTTCATGAGGGGCTGCTCTGTTTTTTGACTGATCCTCTGCCAGGACCAGTCAGGCTCCATTTCTGCCGGAAGGGTGGCTGCTGCCACCCCAGGTCTGGAGGAAATATGATGGAGAAAGTGAAATATAAAGCTTGGGGGGGGATTCCAGTGATACAGCAGAAGCAAAGACAACCTGACAGCTGGGTCTCATCTGACTTTCAACAAGTTGACATTTACATTTTATTTATACATTTAACAGAAAACAGGTAATTAGCAGTACAACAGGTCATAAAACAGCAGTAATATAACATAGATCATACTTGATGTAACACTTACTTAACACAGAAAAACTCTGTGTACATAAGCCCACAAGATACCATGCATGGAAAGTAAGCAGGAGAGATTGCTCCTCAGGTGCTGGTCCTAGGGAACTCTCAAAATTCTGGCAGCAAGTGATTTTTATGATTTAGTTCACATTCTTCCTTTCCCTGTAAACAATTTGGTCTGGATGTAAACGTCAGGAAGCGCTATGATGGGACAAACGCTAAGGGCTGCGCAGAGGCCATGCCAAGCTTGACTCCAGGGCTGGCCAGGACTTGGGGCTACCTCCGCATGGCTGCCTGCCACCAGGGCAGAAGGGCACACAGCCATGCAGCTCCTCTGGGCAGGGCTCTTCAGCAGTCTTTGCTCAGGCAACCCTTCCTAGGACACGCAGCAGTGTCCAGGACAGGCACTTGTACTCCACACTTGTTTTTACTCATTTTGCCTGGGTTGACTAAAGACCTGTCTGTCTGGAGCACGAGCAAACCTCCATGCACGTGGCCACTTGGTTCTTCTGTAGGTTGAGCTCCGCTGTGAAGGGTGGACAGGCTTTAAGCCCTTCTAGGGAAGCAGGGTGGAAAATCAGGAGTAGATCTATAGCAGCTAATTTTATCTCTTAAATTGTACATGAAAACAAATAACTCAGTGCAGTGATGTCCATGGGGTTAATATGAGGTTAATATCAAGGCCGTATTACTCCTTTTCAGCTTTCTTTTCCCACTTTCAATCTGCAGTGGATTTTTTTTTTCATTGTCAAAACACAGGAATGGCCCAGAGATGCTTCTGGATTGCAGAAGGAATCAGGTAAGGACAGTGGGCTTTGGTATATTATCTTAATTTTTAAAATGTTTCACCAATTCCAGAGCTGGAAAAACACATATTTTAAAAGCACAGATCCTGAAGTGCAGAAGTCTTCTGCAGCAAATACCCTTACCAGAGAACTGTGGAATATGTCACACCTCAGATTACTGAGTGGACAATCGAAGCTTCAACTTCTAGACCGTTTTCTATTGCCTCTACTGTTAAGGGTCAGTCCAAGCTCATCCCAGTCCAAATAATTTCCATTAAACTTCTGTGAATGTGCTCCTGTACAGCAGCAGGCAGTTCTGGGAAGGGCAGGCTGCCTCGCGTGCTCTTTGGCTGCTGAACAAGGAGCGTCCAACCACTACTGCTGGGGGGCTGCAAGGGAGTAGTGTCCCCTTCCCAATCTGCTCCTTTTCCCTTGTGTAACACTTGAGTCCTCTGGGATCTGCAGAAATGGGATGTGTCTGATTTCCAACATCAGAACTGTTAGAGAAACAGCTTGTGAGACACTGCAAGGGTAACACCCATAGCAGCGTATTTAAAGCCATGTCTTTGCTGCTAACTGGACCACTGCAGGAGACACAGATTTCCTTTCTTCATTTTTCCTTGACATTAAGGCCATTAATTTCCCAACTGCTTTCTGCAGCAGTCCTAGCTTATGCCAGACTTGCCTTTCCTCGATCGGCCCTTCCCTTGGCTGGCACAAGTGTCTGTACAACAGTGACAGACCAGAGCAGCCAACAGAACTAGGTTAAAACCAAGCTTGCAAGACAAGGAAAGAAAAAAGGTTCATTTTAACCTGGATCAGCTCCTCAGTCCTGTGCTGCACATTGTTGGGGGCAAGTAAAGAAATGATACAAAGGGAGAGTGAAGAGCAAATGATGTGTGAAATGACAGCCTAAACTGTAAATGGATGGACATGACCAGTCTCAGTTAATATAAATTAAAAAAAAATAATTAAAGACTCAGCTTTAGACAATATAAAAATCCTCTTTGAGCCTTCAAGTATTTTTATAGCCTTAAATCACCATTTCTCCTCTCTCTGAAGCAATCTCCAAAAACGGAGAGTGGCAATAGTGGCAGAAGAAAATAAGACCAGTACTGTACATGTATGAGGCCAGCAGCTTCTGTCTGAGTGCCCAGCCTTGTCCCTGGCTCCCCGAGCTGCCCAGGAGACCCTGGAAGGACAACACCTCATTTTATTTTCCTGACTTCTTGCTGCCTGTGGAGACTGGAGCAGGACTCTGCTCTGCTCGAAAGTGTGAGGATTTAGAGGCTGCGCTGGGTAATCCTGGGAGATGTGTGCCCTGGCTCGCACACACCGCTTGGACTGGAGTGGATTTATTCCACCCTGAATTGCTACCTTCAAGAGGACTCCCCAAGGGGATGAATTCTGACCTACAGCTCATAGGGATGGGAGGAGAGTGGTCCAGCATTGCCAGCCAGCTCTCCACTCCCTATATTCCCCTTTTGCATCATCTACTGTCTGCCTTCTGGTGGGACAGGGGCCAAGGACTGTGGCTGTAGGCCTACTGCAGGTACATTTTCATCTTTGGTATCTGATTTTGACTCTTCGATAGGAAAACAAAAAGAAGTGGTAAGCTGTCACCTTTAAAGAGTCCTGGCCAAGTGGTCCAGGTCACCAACACTACCAAACACAGGTACTGCTGCTGGGAGCCACTTGCTGTGGGGAGCCA